CTATACATATGGACTCTTAAGAAATTATATTGGCCCCTTTAGTCTTTGGTTATACTTTCCTTTTGGGTGTTTAAGGCCACAGAGTTAGTTGGCCCAGATAAGGCGATTTATTTTTACTCTGAAGGTCGTTTGAGGATCTGTTCCTCAGGGGTCACATGGGCTTGGGAGGAGACCCTGGCTCCAATTTTGAAGGAGATGTATCTTAGCTCTGGAAATTGTTATTGAATATGTCAATGCTGTTGTAATGAAACGCTTCTTCTAAGTATGTGGTTATTAAATAAATCATTAAAAAGTATATATTTAAAAAAAAACAAAAACATTCCATTCATATTTAGTACTTTCAGTGTCCATATCCGGGCAGATTTATTAACCAGCACCACGAATGTCAATCAGGGTCTGAATTAAGTAATGTTTAATAAATAAACAAACGTCAAAGACTTTTGTTCCACACATTTGAAAAATAAAAAGTTCTTACTTGTGTATTTTAGTAATGTTGATGTTGCCCCAGTTTATAAATGTGACCATCTCACCCTCTGAGAAAGTCTCTGCATCAGCCCCTTCTATGAAAACCTTGGGACTATACCACACAGGCTTCAAGCCAACATCAGGATTCTGAATAATTAAAAGGAGAACATTAGTTAATACAACAACTATTGAACCCTGAGCCTAGTGGGCAAATTCTTCTACTCACTCACTGTATTCTTTAACCAAATAAGTTACTTGCACCACTGTTAAATGCTGGCAATATCCAAGGAAGAGCTTGCTTGATTTTAATGTGTTCCCAATTCTGAACGCCAACAAATATACTGCCCACAAAGCAGAAAACCCACCTGACACTGGATGCAATCACTACGATTGTCCAGGCAATTGTCCTGAAGAGTATTTCTAGTCTAAAGGAACCACTCACCAAGTTCAGGGATAAATGCATAGTGCTTATCATGTAGCATCCCTTCAACCAGAATGCACCTTGTGAGTCTCACAATCTCACTGCTTTTGTAATCAAAGGAGAAAATAGTCACTCCCGGAGAATGCTGTTAGATAACGGAGCACCATGGCAGAGGCTGCGAGCCTTTCATGTTTTACAACACGAACTTTCAGACAGCACTCCGTATGTGTGCAGGGTGGTGAAGCGTTCTATCTTTGCAGTGTAGATTGCAGGGAGAGGAAAATATGAGGATGAAAAGTATTTTGTCTTTGTTAAGTTTCAGGGTTAAAAAAAAAAAAAGTTTGTTATTGCATTTATGTATGTACGTATGTGTGCATGAGTGCGTGCATATGTGGGCATGCAGACAACTTTTAGGAGTGGGTTCTCTCCTTCTATCATGTGACGTGGTCCTGGAACCCTAACCCAGGCCAGTAGGCTTGGTGGCAAGCACCTTTGCTGGCTCAGCTTCCATTTTTGTTTGGCAGAATTCACAGGGAAAATTATTACTGTTTATATCTTTAAAACTAAAACGTAGTTAAATACATAGAAAGAGAATCATCATCTATGGCCACAACTAAGAATGCTCACAAGTCTTCACAATGCATCTGTGAGTTAATCTGCCTAACCTATATAGACTGACTGAGTGCCAGTCTATTAGTATATGATTTATTCATGAATATAATTTTAGTATACAACATTTTTTTTTATTTTATTATTTTTATTTTATATGTGGAGTGTATTGCCTGACTGTATGTAAGCGCACCCGTGTCATGCAATGCCCTTGGAGGTCAGAGAGGGGGTAGGATCCTCTGGAACTAGAGTTACAGCCAGTTGTTAGCTGCCATGTGGATGCTAGGAATCGAACCCAGGTCCTCTGCAAGAGCAGCCAGTGCTCTTAACCACTGAGCCATCTCTCCACTTCTTTCATAACAATTTATAACAAAAGTTTATTTTTTGCTTTAAGATTTTCATCTAATAGCAATTATTCAAGAAAATAATCACAATTTCACTAAGAGGAACTCTCTACTACTTAAGATCTATATTCAGAATGCAGATGGAAAGATACCATTTTTACTCTACAGATACTTCCAAAACAGAGAAAATGGCAGAGAAAACCTGAAATCAAGTTGAGACTTGGGATTTGCAGATCTAAGAACTGTGGAACTGGTTCAGTGGCAAAGTATTTGGCTAGAGGACATGTGTTTAATCCTCAGTGCAGATTTATTACATGTCCGTGTGTGTATGTATGTAGTGCATCAGTATCAGGTACGACAATTTAAAGGCAAAGGTGTTATGAATTATAACATCTCAACTTTCAAGATGATGCCAAGAAGGAAGATAAGTTCTCTTTACACACAAGCTGTCTTCACAGAACAGAAAATAAGAACCGACTCAATGCAACAGCTCTGTCATATGCTGGGCATTACTATAAATAAGTGTATTCAGCAAAAAATACAGACTTGCTTCAGTTAGTATCAAATCTTGGTAATTAATGTGAAACAGAAAATGACTGTGAAACTAAGCCCCTCCCTTTGATACAAAGCAAACCCTGGTGAAACTGCGCAGTGACCTTGGGGTGTCTGGCCACTTCTTTCATTTCCTCCCGAGCTTCAGGGACGTACACTGGGATCACCTCTTTCTTCAGTAATGCAACGTATCTCGGAGCCACTGGGTCAATGACCTGTAACAAACACAACCTCATGTTATAATCGAAAAACATTTAGTAGCACACCATAAATAAGTAACAGCACAGGAATACTAACTGGCTTTCTTTGTTACTGCATTTACTAATTTTTTCGTTTATCTATAATCTCTTCTTTAATATTTAACTGTCAAAACAAACTTTAAAAATTAATTGCAAACTAAGAGACTTGAAGGATTTCAGAGTTCCTTCCCCAAAATTATTACTGATAGGTGAACAGAACCTGAAGAAAGCATGTTAGAAATGTTCTGAAAACAATCTTTAAAATTTGGAGTTAGAAACGAGAAGAAATCCTGTGGGGTTTTAGGTTAAACCCCAAAGGTAAATGTGATATTCAGGTTTGCACTGTTGGAAATCCATTTAAAGGGAAACAGACATTACAGTTTGATATCATTTTCTAAAACCAGAGTTAGGCAACCATCAAAAGCAGAACAGCATTAGGCCACTATAATAAGGCAACCCTGTGCATTAAAAACAAGATGATCTTTTGATCTACATGCCATATACAAGGTGGGAATCTCTATCTGAAAGTCAGAATCCAAAACACTTCTGACCCAAGTGTTTTGGATAAAGGACACTCCATGTGGATACAAATATAGAAACCATTACATTCCCACACCTAGCAAGCACTCAGCACATACAGGCAGTCAGTCTGTAACTGCAGATTAACTGATGAGGGATCTCGTGTCTGAAGCCTGCTCTTCTGCCACCTTCCCAACTCACTGCTCAAATCAGAAGCATCCCCATGACCAAGCACCAGGAGTGCTTACTTAGACTAGCCAAAGCCCCTGGGAGAAAGGTGGAGCAGAAAGTGAGGGTGGAGCTAGGCCTGAGCCCATACCAAAATTCCTGAGCTTGGGAGGCTGGCTGGGTTGAGGAAGACCCTTTGTCAAACAAACAAAGCAAATGCAGCACCACAATGCTAAGCAGAGTGGCCCTTTTCTACCTAGATTAGGTAGAAATCTGGGATTATCCCTGATGTGGGGTTACCCCTGATGGATTGGGGGTAATCTTTGGGTTCTGAAAAGAATGATGTGGGACTTCATGAAATCACAGAAGCAGTACTCAAAAGCCAATTCAGGCAAATTTTTATTTTACTTTTCATGCAAAATGTGAAAAGCTGTTTAAACCCCTTTTCTGCTGCTGCTCTTTGGTATTTCCTGCCAAAACTAAATCAACACCAAGCATCTTTAAATTCTATTTAATCCTTTCCTTGAGACTTAAAAAGTCATTCTTCCTAGTTCAGAGTTGCTTCTTTTTTAATTTTTATTATTTTTATTTTATGTGTATGCGTGTACTGCCTGCGTATGTTAAGTGCACCTGTGTCGTGCAATGTCCGAGGACGACAGAAAGGTTGTTGGATCCCCTGGAACTGGAGTTACGGACAGTTGTTAGCTGCCATGTGGGTGCTGGGATTTGAAGCCAGGTCTTGTACAAGAACCACCAGTGTTCTAAACTGCTGAGCCATCTCTCCACCCCCCAGAGTTGCTTCTTTTGGCTTCACTAGCTAGAGGGTCAGAGACTGAATTTGTGGCTTACCAAGGTTAGTATTCAAGCCATTAAGATAAAATTTCTTTAAAGAAGCAAAAGGAAGGCAACTAGAGAACCCTAACTCCATTATTTCTTCAACTGACCAAAGTAATCTGAGTGTACTGCACAGCTCGTGTGGCTGTCAGCAGATTCTCAGGCTACTTAACCCTAGAGAACTGTGGTTCATTGGTCCAAGGAAAGTCTGGGTACACATTCCACCTGTGGCAGAAGGAGGTGATAGTGCAGTTGGTTATGTCTTAGTGGATCAGGAAGCAGAGTTCTGACAGAACCAAGGCCAGGCCTGACCAAGGACCTGTCTCCAGTGACCTACTTCCTCCAGTCCCAGCTGATAAAGGTCTACATCCCCCCAAAAGAGCACTACCAGCTGGGGACCAGGTGTTCAAATACCTACCCTACTGCCTGTGGAGGCAGCTCGCATCCCAACCCTAACAAGGACAAGAGCCCTGGCAGCCAGGCCTCCACCTGGAGGAGTGACTGAAACTCCTATGGGAAAACTGCAGGCTCCAAGAGAGGGTTAAAGTTACTACTTAGGGGTTCTCCCACTGACCCAGGCAGCTAATCCTATAGTGAAGCTCAGCTCTCACTCTTGGAGCTTCCAGTCACTCCTGCAGTCTCCCATACCAATAAGCTTGAACAATTCAAGGTAACCAGACATCTGAGAATGCTTTCAATATGGAAGAAACCAAAAACCTAAAACAAACAACCTGAGAAAGAGACATCAGGGAGACGGACAGCAGATGACAAGACACTACTAACACAATAACCACGAAACGCAAACACAAAGCTACTTTGAAAATTCAGATCCTGGAAGCACTGTAGTAAGAATAAAAAATTAAACAAAAAATTATGAAGGTGAACAAATCAACCAAAAAGTAAATCAATAAAATTAAAGAGGCAGTCCAAAAGGCCCAACATTTAAACAAGTCCAGAGGGGGAAAAAAACACAGGAGACAAGCAGGGTTAAAGCTCGATGGCAGAACATGTGCCTTGCATGGAGGAAGTGGAGGGCTGGAGAGATGGCTCGGCAGTTAAGAGCACTGACTGCTCTTGCCAAGGACCTGGGTTCAGTTCCCAGCACCCACAGGCAGCTAACAATCATCCATAACTCCAGTTCCAGTGTATCCAATACCCTCTTCTGACCTCTGCAGGCACTGCATACATTTACATCCATGCAGGCAAAACACTCATTCACACAAAAATAAATCCAAAAATTGTTTTGTTAGGTTTGTGGCCCATGCCTATAATTCCAGGTAGGGCTACATAGCAGGACTAGCAAGTGAGAAGGAAACTGAGGTGTGGTAAGAAAATTTCCCAGCTGGGTGTGATGGTGCACGCCTTTAATCCTAGCACCTGGGAGGCAGAAGCAGGTGGATCTCTGTGAGTTCAAAGCCAGCCTGGTCTACATAGAAAGTTCCAGGCCAGCTGGGGCTACAAGGAGACCCTGTCTCAAGAAGACCAAAATATATATATATATATACACACAAGTTTTATAAGTCATATGAAAGGTCTCACTAGTTCTCTTGATCTCATACCAAAAAGTACAGTATTAACAAGAGGGTGGTAAGAAGGAATGGTTTCGATGGTGGTGCATGGGAGCTCTAGTTCCAGCTTCTAGTGGGCAGAGAAGAGGATGGCTGGAGTCCAGGACCATGGAGACCCCTGATACGAACAAAATAAATCATCTAGGAAACAGGTGATCTATTAAAGAAAAGGGAATCCCCAGAGTGATGAGGAGACCTGGGTATACCACCAAGCCTCAGAACAAGTAACCATGACGAAACTAAATAGTTACAAGAAAAAAATCCAAGACTGAAATCTCATCTTCAACCACAGGAAACAACAGATGAAACCAGAAACCAAAGAAGCAGCACTTCTGCTCAGAGAAGACACAGTTAAGTACCAAGAGTCATCAACAAAGTAAGGGAGGGGGAGAAAGGAGCCCACAGAATCATATGGCAATAAAATATACTTCATGTATTTTAAGTAAATACAAATGTGTAGCTTCATGAAAACTTAAATCTATAAAATCTGGGTTAATAAATGTATAGCAATTATTAATGTGTTTGTAAGTTCTACTCATACTGCTATTAGTAACTGCAGCAACAGAAAGAACCAATTAATAATTCCATTGTAAAACCTGACTGAACACAAAACACTTAATTCAAGACACATGCGAGACAAGCAACTACTTGAAGCTTCAAGACATGAGTACGATCAAGCAGCAATCGCAACAAAGGGTTTACAGAACACAATCACAGAAACCATAGTGCAAGCGTGCCGTTTCCAGTGACCCGCCTTATTATAGTGTCCAAGCATCTGCTTCCAATTAGGATCCACAATGTCAATGCAATATTCCTCATTTAATTTTTCAATTAAGAAAATTTTGGGTGTTTTTTATTAAGCTGGTTTAAGACAGCAATTATAGTTAGAGAGCCTTCAATACAAGTAATAAGTAATTTATAAAGTATGTCCTCTCAGCAAACGAGGGGACAGAATGAACTTGGTCAAGTCTCCCTTTGCCACAAATAACAGAGGACAGATTTTGTAAAACTAGGAATAATGCATTCTCAACATGCTTGTATGAGCAAGTCTTACATAAATGTGATTGTGCTTCAAAGCTGTACAGAACCTCAGGTTATAACATGTGCTATGCTAAAAGCTATGATTACGGCAAGAAAAGCATGAAGTGATACCTTCTTACAGAGAGCTCGCAGCTTGAAAGCAGAAAAATGAAATGCACAGCGTTGATAACAACTTAAGGAAACACTATTACCATTTCCCATAAATCCAAGTCTGCTCAATTACTGTTGCTTGTTGGGGTAGTTAACAGGCTTGGTGCGCATTATTTCAGAAAGGAAAACATTCCATTTTCCTGAGACTGTGAAGTGACAGCACTGTTCAAAGGGTTTCTCTAAAAAGCACACCAATGAGGTCTACATGTTACTCCTGAGCTAGGCATGAGAAGAACGGCAGTTAAATATGTACCTTTTTGTTAAATGCCCAGATTTTGTCCCACTCCATATTCACAACAGACCGTGAGGAGCCCTAGAAAAACAATGAAGATATTTTAAGGATAAGAAATATTAGATAGAGGGCAGATGAAAAGGCTCGTGGGTAAAAACACTTGCCAGCAAGCTGCACCTCAACTTGATCCCTGGAACCAACATAGTTTAAGGAAAGAACTGACTCCTCAAAGTTTTTCTCTGGCCTCCATATGTATACCATGGTGTGTGCGCAAGGGTACACACACACTAAATAAATAAACATAAAAAATATTTTAGGGGCTGGAGAGATGGCTCAGCAGTAAAGAGCACTGACTGTTCTTGAAGAGGACCTGGGTTCAGTTCCCAATGCCCACATGGCAGTTAACAACCATCCATAACTCTAGTTCCAGGCGATCCAATGCTCTCTGCTGATATCCATGGGCCTTGCATGATATGGGTGCATTTACATATATGCAGGCAATACACTCATACACATAAAATAAAAATTAAAAATTTTAATATTAAGAATATTTTATTTCAAGTCAAGCATACTTAGAAAGACAAAACAATAAACGCCTCCAAATTTACTTCCACTGAAACTTGTAACTTGGTGTGTGAAAAGCTGTCACCTTTAACAGCAGTCTCATTAAAGGTCATTCTACAGGCTGTCCAGAGCCAATACACACACATTTCACTATGTGAGATCCCTCTGCTGTCTTGTGCCACCCTAGGAAGGAGCTTAGGACACACCCAATCTTCTACTATCATCAACAGTGCTAACTCAGCCCTTCAAACAGTCTATCCGTAACCAGATGTGATGACACACACCTGTTATCCCAAAATTCAAGAGGCAAAGGGAGAAGATCTCTGCAAGTTCAAGGTCAACCTGGTCAACACAGCGAATCTAAATCAGGCAGAGACACACAGTGATGAAAAAAATTTATCTACCCAACCTGTAATCCCAGCACTCAGGAAGTTCACCATGAGTTCAAGTTCAGCACACGCTAGAGTGAAACCTTGTCAAAAAATGAACAACAACAAAACTAATACTGAATCCTAAGACACAAGCAAGTATTGGAAGAACAAAGAGAGTGACAACTAAAGGGTTATTAACAGAAATGCCTGAAATTCAGGGAAGCTGGGAAAGAAATACAACTCACCTGTGCAGCGATGAACTGTTTCAGCCCCTCCACTGTCATGCCTCTTCTCAGAACACCACGAACTGTAGGAAATCGAGGGTCATCCCTGAGAAACAAGCACACTGTTAAGCAGATATTTTTAAATGTTTGCTGCAGAGAGAAGATTCCTAATGAACAAATTATATTCAGAACAAGGTGTGGGGCCTACGCCTGTAATACCAGCACTTAAGAGGGTGAGGTGGGAGGATCGTTGAAAATTCAAGGGCAGCCTGAGTTACATAGTGAGTTCAAGGCCAGCTTGGGCTAAAAAGACCCCATCTCAACATAAACAAAGATTCCTTTTGTTATATGTTTACCTTGTTAAATATTTGGGCTAACACTCATTACACTAAATGGAAAGATTTCAGTATCAGTAAACATAAATTCTTGGAAGAAAAGTGCTTCTAATTAACTACTTTCAGTAAATCACTGGAAAGAGCAGAGGTGCATCTGAAACCTCCTCCCACACTTTTTTTTAAATATTTATTATTTTTATTTTATTTGTTTGCGTGTACTGCCTGCATGTATGTAAGTGCACTCATGTCATCATGTCATGCAATGCCTGCAGAAGACAGAAGAGGCTGTCGGATCCCCTGGATCTGGAGTTACGGACACTTGTTAGCTGCCATGTGGGTTCTGGGATTCAAACCCGGGTCTTCTGTTAGAACAGTCAGTGTTCTTAACCACTGAGCCACCTCTCCAGCCCTCCCTCCCACACTTAACATTTGAGTTCCCTATTCTACATGCAGTAGTAAGATCTGCCAAGAAATGACTACACGAGACCCATTTAAGACCATATATACATGCCAGGTATGATGGCGTATACCTTTAGTTCCAGCACTCACGAGGCAGAGGCAGGCGGATCTCTGTGAGCCTGGTTTACATAGAGAGTTCCAGGACAGCTGGGGCTTCAGGAAGACCCATCTCAAAAAAAAAAAAAAAAAAGGAAAGTATATATACAAGAACACATAAGAAAGTTATTGATATCTGCAGAGATCTGAAATTACAAGGCTGCAACAATACTCCTTGTATGAAGCACAAGATAAACTTGCCTTTTATAAAATTCAGCTCTATAATAAAATACACATTTTTTCCCCCAGTATATGCCCACTAGGTATCTTTATTTTGGTCACTATTTGTGTCCTGGTTTTTTGTTGTTGTTGTTTTTTGAGAGGCTGGACTTAAACTCAGGATCCTCCTGTCTCAGTCTCTCGAGTGGTAAAATTACAGGTGTTTGCTCATTAACATGCTGATACTAAAACAGACCAATATACAAATTCTGATAGTTATCTTAGACTTAGACCCATGATAATCAACATGAACAGGCATTGTTTGTACAGACACATGGCTACAAGGTCACTTCCATTTTTTTGTACTCATCTTTCTTATAAAAATCCCATACACATTATTAATATCCAGAGAAATTTTCAGATTCTTTCTAGGTGCTGATTCCCTCGTCAAGTGGTCAAAAACAAGGTAGGTCCTGAACCCTAGGCTGAGACCATCTTACCCTAGCCTCAACTCTGGGTCATTCTGGCCTTTCTCTGACCTTGCTGAGGAAACCTCCAAGCCACACTGTGTAGAGAGCAGTGAGCAGGCCCATGAAGGACAGAGAGAGAACACTTGGTATTGATTGCTGAGATCAACCTACAGACAAGTTTCAAGATCAAAGACACACGGGGCTCTTCCTTCTGTCAACTCTAGGCAACACAAAACTATTACCATCCATCCACTAGGCCTTCGTTGACAAACCAGGTGAGCTTTCTTTTGGACAGCACTGTGTTGTTGAGATTTAAGCGACTATATTCCCAGATATATGGTTTTCGTATGCCTAAAGCTTCAATGATCCAATAAAACTGCTCATCTCTGTCATGGTATTCCGTTGTTCTCAAGGCATGAGTCACACCTTCAATGCTGTCCACTATAGGGCAGGCGAAATCGTACGTTGGATAAACACTAGGAAAAAAGGGAATTTTTAAATATTTTATTATTTTTATGTGTATGAATGTATTGCCTGCATGTATATGAGTGCACCCGTGTCATGCAATGCCAAGGAGGTCAGAAGAGGGGTTTGGATTCCCCTGGAACTGGAGTTAAGGATGGTTCGCAGCCCCATGTGGGTGCTGGGAATAGAACCCAGGTTCTCTGCAAGAGCAGTCAGTGCTCTTAACTGCAGAGCCATCTCTCCAGCCCCAAAGGGAATGTTTTTATAAACAGACGTTGGCTACTTTACCTCTCCCATCTTAAAGAATTATCAGCAGGACCAAAGCAAAAACCAGAGGGCAACCCAGTGGAGAGCAGGAGACACACTTACTTGTACTTATTACCAGTTCTTGGGTGTGGTTGAATTTTGCAGCGGTAGAGGGTTGGGTCCCTCATGCACCCATTGTTGCTACTCATGTCAATCTTTGCTCGTAAGCAGCAGGACTGACCAAACTGACTTCCTTTTTTCATTTCTTCCCACATTTGTAGATTCCTCTCAACAGCTGTAAAATAAGTTCTATTCTTGTTTACTGCTATATTGTAGATCTGGTTGGCTTCAAATTACTGTCTTTTAACTTTATGGGAATGACTTTTTTGTGAAGGACACTTTGTAACAATCCTGTAAAACTGAACTTTTGCATAACCTTGTAAACCAAGTTAATCATGTCTGGAGAACACTTAGAACTAGGCATGACTTTGGATTACCTGCTCTAAGTTCAGCCTGTTCAGAATCCACTGACTGTTTAAGCTAAACCACAGCTCTAACGCTGTTTCCTCGGTGACTCAGAACAAATGGGTGTGATAATCAGACCTAAGACCATCCTGCTGAAAGCAGCAATGATGATGGAAAGCAACATGGAAGCTCTGGGAGCTTATTATTGAATAAAAACAGCATGATTTTATGTAAGCTCAGGGGCCAAGTCATGAATAAAAACAGTATGCTTTCAGGCTAGGTGTGGTGCCATATACCTGTCATCCCAGCACATGGAACTCGGTAGGCCAGCACCCTGAACTTCAGCCTGGGCTATATAGTACCCTGAACTCTATTTTTTGTTGCTATTGTGGCTTTTAAAAAATATTTTTATTTTTATTTTATGAGTGTTTTGCCGGAATATAAGTGCACCACATGCATGTAGTACCTTCAGTGGCCAAAAGAGGGAGTTATAGTAGCTAGTTGCCATGATATGCGTGCTGGGAACTGAACCCGGGTTCTCTTCAAGAATAGCCAACGTTCTTAACCACTGAGCCATCTTTCCAGTCCCTGTTACTGTTGTTTTTTGATGATACATTGTCAGTGTTTGAGTGTGAAATGTCTTTCACAGGCTCTTATTCTTGAACACCTGGTCCCCAACTGGTAGCACTGTTTCAGGAAGTCATGAAACCTCTGTTGCAAGACTGGGGGTTATATCCAGCATCATTTCTGCTCCGCTCTCTTCCAGATTCACCAACACACAAGAAAGCCACACTGCATGCTTCCAGCAATACTGACAGAGCTGCTGATAACCACAATGAGTCTACCCTCTTAAAGTTCTTACTGCCCAAAGCCCCTTATGCTGTTTCTCAGGTATGTGGTCACCACAATGTAAAAGTAACTAAAGGAAATATGATCTTTATTCAGGTGACACCGCACCAACACAGGGTAATGATGAACTTACTACAGTCACATGTGTCTACATGCTGGTAACAACATCAAGCATTTTAGGAGTATTAAGCATTTAAATAAAAAGAACTCTAAAATGCTGCATAAAGAATCCCTCAAATGAAATACATGCAAGGACTGCATACAGGAAGTAAGATGCTAGAGGCAGGAACACTGCACTTGCAGTTCTGATGTCAGCAAAATGGCAAGAAGGTGCCAGGAACTGGGTGAGCTCAACAGAAAGTGTTTACCGAGTATGTGGAGGCCCTGGATTAGATGCCCATCACAACAAATCAAAAAACAGAACAAAAGCAGAGCACAGTGGTGCATAGCTATAATCCTAGCATTTGTGGAGGCTAAGGCAGGGGGATCTCGTGTGAAGCCAGCCTGGGCTACATAGCAAGACTGTCACAGACAGAAAAGGCGCAAGAACATAAAGACAACAGAGAAGGACCTTAATTGAACTTCAAAATCTTTCATTAAAAAAAACAAATCAAGTACTATTGATTGAAATCAATACTATTACAAAGTATTATGCAAGTATATCAATTAAAATTCCAGACACGAAATGTGCCTTACAGTTTTCCCTATGTCTGGATTCTGTCCTCTGCTCACGTTCCACTTTCATCTGCTCTGCAGGAGTGTCATCCACATAAGCCTTCCCTTCTTGAATTAATTTCTCTGCATATTTCATTATAGTTTCAAAGTGATCTGATGTATAAGTAAACTGATCTGGTTTAATGTGTAACATCGCAACATCTTCCAAGATAACCTACAATGAGAAATCAAAAGAAGCATCAGTGAGTATTTTTCAACTTCATATACATTTTCATCCCACGATACTGTCTTTTGAGCAAATGCAATAATAAAACACCGTCAGTCTTAAGGAGCCTGAAAATGGCTGTGGATGCTGTACGATGTGAGGTCAGAAAAGAAAGCTACTCATTGTATGAGCTTCCAAATTCCAGCTGCAAAAGCTAGCCTCTCGATGGAGTTCCCCACTTGACTGGAGGCGCTGGGGCTGTCGTCACACTGCACCCACTTCCCTCCTCTTTGAATACATTGCAAGTCCTTCTGAACAGATAGAATACAGGAGGCTAAAACACCATTTTACAATACCTACGTAGTGCCTACTTCATTCATCAACTTAAGACTATGAGAAGAAGGAATCCTGCCCAGTTACAACGGTACTCAAAAGCATTAAGTAATTGTACAGTAACTGGAGAAAGGAAAAAAATAAACTCAAGTGTTTTGATACAGGAGCTCAGTATTTCTTGGCTTAGGTTTCAGGTATAAAATATACATATGAGGAGGGAAAAGCAGCTATGAAATTAAATTTATTTTCATACCATGAAGGCATCGGATCACACTCTAATTTAATTAACTTTTCTGAGAAAAAGGTCATCACTACACTTTTAATTACCTTCTCAAAATCTTCCTTTTCCTTTTCAGGATTTGTGTCATCAAATCTCATGATCAGTTTCCCTTTAAAGTTAACCTGGTAGTGCTGGTTCAGAAGAGCAGCTTTTGCATGCCCAATGTGTAAGTAACTAAAACAAAAACATTTCACAGAGAGACTCATTAACATGCTTCAACTGGATTCTTACACTTAACCTCTTTGAGGAGAGGAGATCTTAATAAACATCTAATACTCCCCAGTCTTATTTCACTTTCCACCAGGAAGTACTGTAATCGCAAATGTGACTGACAGAGACAGCAGACTAGAATACGTACAATACAACCATAAGGTGTGACTTCCCACGAAAACCTCAAGGGGCAAGGTATTCATCAACACTACAACTCTAAGTCTTTTCTTTTCCTTAGGAAGAATGGTCATTTAAAGGAAAACTGCTTCTGAAACTGTCGCCAAGCAGCCAACAAGTGCACCTCTAGGACGTGACACGAAATAAACACCCACCTACCACCCAGCAGAGAAGCACTGAGACAGTAGCTGTCACTGTGGTGACTAAGTCAAAGAACACGTGGGAATTAAGACTTCAGAGGAAGGCTTGGAGTTCCAGCTACTTAATCAAAGGCCAATGAAAAGATTTTAACTCAGTCATCTCAAAGGTCCAAGCTAGCACCAAACTCCACAAATCAGATCTACGAAAATACTGTCTGTTCCAATGGGCAGCCAGCAGCACTGCTGATAATATTGTACATCAAGAACCGCCTCTGTCAATGCAGTGGGTAAAAAGCAATATCCTAAGCCAAGCATAACAGTGCCTGACAAGGCCAAGGCCAGTCTAGGCTCCACAGCAAGACCCTGACCTAAATGAAAAGATCCTATATCCTTCTGTTGAAAATATTCTCAGCTGGGGAGGAAACAAAGTATGAAGTTTAAGTACTTATGAAGTAAGTCTAAACAGCTCTTGTCCATTTTTCCTAGTTTCCACGGCAGCAGCAATGTTTTAAGACAGTCATGCAGTCTTACAGCACACCTTTAATCTCAACTGATATCAATATGGGTAGGAACATGCAAACCCTCACTGTCTTTATGTCTTGGGATTTTTGTTTGTTTTTTTTTTTTCTTTTTCTTTTTTTTTTTGTCTTTTTGAGATAGAGTCTCCCTGTAGCCCCAGCTGTCCTGGAACTCACTATGTAGACCAGGCTAGC